CCTGAAAGGAGGTTGTAGCGAGGTGGGTGTTGGTCTCTTCTCCCAAGTAACAAGCGATAGGACGAGAGGAAATGGCCTCAAGTTGCGCCAGGGGAGGTTTAGATTGGACGTGAGGAAAAATGTCTTTCCTGAAGGAGTGGTTAAACATTGGAAGAGGCTGCCCAGGGAAGTGGTGGAGTCCCCATCCCTGGAAGTATTTAAAAGACGAGTAGATGAGGTGCTTAGGGACATGGTTTAGTGGGCATGGTGGTGTTGGGTCGACGGTTGGACTTGATGATCTTAGAGGTCTTTCCCAACCTTAATGATTTTATGATTCTATGATTCTGTGATTCTTCCTGGTCAGGTGGCCTATAGCAGACACACACTATAATGTCACCTTTACCTGTCCTCTCTTTAATCCTCCCCTATAAACTCTCATTCGGTTCCTCATCCATCCCCAAGCAGAGTTTGATGCACTCCAACTGCTCTTTCACATAAAGGGCAACTTCCCCTCCTTGTTTCCCTAGCCTGTCCTTCCTAAAGAGCCGGTTTCCCTTCATTGTGATGCTCCTGTCTTGGGTGCCATCCCACCATGTCTCTGTGATCCCAACGAGATCATAGCCCTGCAACTGCACACAGACAAACTCATCATGTTTATTCCACACACTGCATGCATTAGTATACAGGCACTTCAGAGAGGCACCCCAGCATGTTGACTGCCTAGAAAGGGATTGGGGGATTTCTCCATCATGGTGCCTTGTATAGGCATTTCCTTGCTTACATGCAAGTGCTGGAGGTGACCCCACTTAAGCCCCATCTTATTGATTCTGTGTTCCGTTCCTGTCACAGCACCCCATGCCCTTTGCTCTTCGACCATGTCCATCACTCCCTCACAGGGCTGCTGGTTACTCTCTCCCTCTCCATCCTTAGTTTAAAGCCCTCCTTATGTGGTCAGCCATCCTACTGGCAAAAATAGCTTTGCCCCGCTTAGTGAGGTGGATCTCATCTCTCTCAAGCAGACGGTGATCTGCAAGCAGGGTCTCATGGTCATACAACTCAAAACCTTGTCACCAACACCAGTTCTGCAGCCAATTATTGACTTGTCCTATTAGTGCTCTTCTCCTCATTTCCCCTCACTTGCAGGATCGAGGAAACATCACTTGGGCCCCCATGCCCATGATGCTTGTTATTTATCTGCTACCGCTCTCCTGCTTCATCATATAGTTCCTTCGAGCCACCCAAAATAAAAGTTGGTATGAATCATCCTTACTTAATGCATTGGCTTTGAGTATGCTGAACAGTGTAAATGTCACCTTTGAGTTGTATGTCTATAAGAAAGAGTTGCTTGCACACAAACAAAGCACTTCACTGGTGTGTGCTTATCAAATCCTGCATAGACAGGAGAGAAAGAATTCAGGGTTGCACATTAAATTTTGATGTTATGGGAGCTTTGTGAATAAACACCTATCAGAAATAACATATCATGTGGTATTTAGTGCCAGCATTAATTTAGTGCACGTCTTTTTCTTGTAAACACAGAGTTACTATTACTAATGTTAGTTTTAAGCCTCCTTCCATATATGAATGAAAAAATAGCTTTATGATAGAAGAAAGACATACTGAGATGCTAGTTATATATACTAGTTATATACTTGTTAACAAATTTGTACAACTTAATCACTATTGTTGGACTGTATAAACAACACTGATTTGAGCAGTTATATTTCATTATTAAAATAATGGAAACCTGACTACCACCTGGAAAATTAAAGTTATTGTTGCTGCCTAACTTTCATATTTTGCACTTATAACTCAAATTTGCTAACAGAATGTTGATAGCAGCCATTCTGTTTGTAGCTTGCATTTGCACTTAATTACTTTTGATTCTTGAGAACAGATACTATGAGGTGCAATAGTAACAAGTTACTAGAGCAGTGAGGTGGCATTATTTTTCCAAACTCTGGTAGCCTATGAAAATGACACTCATTTGAACATTAATTTTTCAGCAGTAATTCATGTAAATGTTTACTCTTGCAATGACCCATCCAAACATCCTCCTCGTATTTAAACAATGCAATTAAGGAAAAAAAAAATAATAAGGGAATTGCCATGCAATCATATCAGCATTTCCAATATGCTAACAAAACTGAATTCCAAAATCTGTGTATTTCAGCTAATTCCTGGGAAAGCACAGACTTCCCAGTTTGGGTCTGCTTAGGAAAGTTCTTATGCAGAGTTTGTTTCATAGAGAAGAGAAAAGATGTAGCCTGCTGGACTTCTTGGCTGGTGGGCCACCTGCAAGGCACATTCACTGTCTAACTCGGTATAGAGAGTAGGTGATTTTTTTTAAACACAGGCAGTAGATTGCTGAGGGTAGGAGCAGACAAACCTAGGAGAGCAGGGGGTACTCACGGTCTGCTCTTCATGAGCTAAGGTCTCCAAGTCCAAACCTCCAAATGAAGTCTGGGTATCACATAGGATGTGGAAGCTGTTTCTAAGCAGGCTGTCTTTATAAACTCAATAATGCTTTCTAGCAACTAGTGCCACATATTCATTATGTACCCTTAATTATTTTCTTTAATAGAATTTAAACATATTTCAGCATCCTTGTTTCTTTCCTTGCTCCTTAAAGTGAGTGAAACATTGCCTTTTTAACCATTGGTTTCCCTCTTGTGTCGACATTGCATACTGCCACTTACTCTTGATCTAGAAAATTTAGATGTCTGGTGGTTTGGGTTTTTTGGACTCGTATCTATATACCATATAAGAGGGGACATGAACTTGACATGCATTAAAAACCCTGATTTATTCAATAGTACTCTTTTTTCAGTAAGTTTTTTATGCCATTCTTCACATATCTCAATATTCTTCCCTCCTTAGAAAGCAAGTGTTCTTACTGAACAGTTCATAATAAACAATGACCGAATTCTTTTCCATGGTAATCTTCAAATTAAATCTAAAATGCAGTAACAGAAACAAATAGTTCAAATTATTAGTTTTAGTGTGGCTTACCTTTTCAGTAGTAAATTCTCCAGTTACTAAATGCTGTACAGTCATATAGCTGTTAGGTTTTTCTGCAGTAGCTGTCAGCCTTCTCCAATTCTGAGTAATGCAAATAATGTGTCCTCTGTCACTCATATTAGAAGAATTTTTATACTTTGTGACACCACACATTTACACATCACCAATTACTTTTTATTTTAGTGCAAACTTGGGGAGAAGCAGCATTAGACTGTTCTGCTCTCCTCTCCCTTTCTGTTACTTCTGAAGTTTCTAATCTGTGATTATCTAGTCTTCAATTTTGTGTTCTCAGAGTTTGTCAGGGTCATTTTGGAAAACCAGTCGTATTTTCTTCCTTTTTGGTCATACTGCAAGGAGTATGGCTTTTCTGTTAACACTGTAGTTGTGTAAAAGCTATTTATCTTTTATCCAGTGGGATAACATCAGTCCTATACTTTAGGAGAGAGGAAGGAACTGGCTCTTTGCAGCTTGCTCCCTCTTTACCCTTTGGTAAAACATTAAAATGTCTCCTCCTCTATGTTGCTCTTTTTGCCCAGAACACCCATCCGTCTCCCTGGCCCATGCCTGGGAGCAGGCCCTTCACCCTACCATGAAAATCCTCCTTTACTCTTTGCGGTGAGCTGCCAGCCCCACTGGTTTTCCTTTGACAACTTACCAACTCAGCAGAACAGAAAAGCACATAGTACAGCGTGATCTGCAGCGCTGCACCAGCGACAGGGAAAGCAGCCGCTCGTGTTTGGCTCCGTGTACCTGCCCACGTGCTTCTATACCTCCCAAACAGCAGAACAGCTGCAGCTGTGCAATATCAGCTGTGACAGCTTTAAGGTTAGAAAGCCCTTGTAAGGTGGGCCAACCCCTTCCCCAGCTAAAAATTACAAGCTTTACAGAAGCTGGCTTCAGAACAGTTATTAAAGAAAAAGAGAAAAAAAAGGTGAGTGAGAGAAAAAAACCCAACCTTACCTGTTATGAGTGTACAACAGAGGCTGATGTAAGAAAAGGCCCAGAAGACAGTAGAGATAATAAAATAGAACTAAGACATAGTAATGTTTCATTTTATTTGATAGAAAGTTGCTTCAAAAATATGATTAATTATATACATTCTTATATGCTGTACATACAGTTACATATACAAAATGTACATAATAGCAAACATCCTTCTGTTGCATTTTATGGATGGTAGTTAATAACATGAGATAGAACTTACATCATATTTCATACCTGCTTTCATCCTGATCCTATCTACAAGGAATTGGTAGACATGAGAGATGAAAAAGGCTAGCAGGTCACTTAATTCATACCCCAGCCTACACGAAAGTCTTCCCCACAGTGCATTATATTAGTGCATTGTTCTAGCACAGTTAGGCTTGCAGCACTTCCCTTTAGAGGTGTTTGGCTGCTAACCTTAATCTTCAGATTTTTTTCCCGGCGTTCACCCTAATACTATTTTAAATTTATTTCTATAACTCAGATGTCCTGAGTTATAGAAATCCTCCTCAAATCAAGCTAGATTTCTTAAACTTTATGTTGTTTTTTTTTTTTTTTTTCATCTTGATTCCTTAGTTGCTTGTTTGCCACGTATGAAATAGATATAACTATTAGTACTCTCTGTTCTGGGAGAAGTACACTCAGACACAAAAGCTATAATCCAAGCGTTCTCTCCTTCCCATGCTACCGTCACACTGTAAACTTGGAATCATCAGGAAGGAAAAAAATGTACCTTCCCTCCTCCTCCTCCGGCAATTACAGGGTGTGTGACTGCCAGCTGCTCCCTGGCACAAGAGGTGTCAGGTCTTAAAAGGAACTGCCCAGTTACTGGGATTTTTCTGGTCCCAGTCCCATAAGGAATACTCTACTTGTCCACCCTTTCTCTAAGCAAGAGGTAGCATACCAAAATCGAAACACAGGGAGTAGAGGCTGGCAACTCTGCCCTTTACTAGTCGCTTCCAACAGACTGTCCTCCATTTCCTGACTGGAGGGATCAGGCACCGTTATCCTATGGACCCGATGTTCAGGGAAGAAGAGAGAGTGAGAGCTGCCAAACCAGCAGCAGAAGGCCTGTGAGAGAAGCCACGGCCTCCACAACCAAACAGGCTATCCTGGAAGACTATTCCCTGAGCTAAGAGGGAACACGGCTTCTTTCATTGCCTTTCCAACTTCAGAGGTTAAAAATGAGCTGCTTCTTTCCTGCAGACATCTTGAGAGCTGCAGTTTCATTGCCCTAAGAATGTTTTCTTCTTTCCAAGTTAACAGCATCCTTAAATACCTATTTTATTTCTTCTCTGCTCATGCGGCCCTGTGCTTTCTAACCCTGTGCTGGCCATAGTCTTCATTTCACTAGGAAATTTTTCTATTCTCTTTTCATACCTCTATATCTTGTTTGTATTAATATGCAATAGCTTTCTCTGATCGGTAAAGCAGTTTTCCATCAGCTGTCAAGGTGAAAGCAAGGGGATTAAGGTTCCTTTTATACATTCTTTTGGTATTACTTTAAATAATGTTTTTTTCTAACTAAGGGGATCTCTTATATTCTTCAGAACAAGTTTATATTTTTTGAATTACTGCATAACATGCATATATTTAATAATATCTTAAAGCCAAAGATATTGATATGCCTTCATTTTTTTCTAGGCTGTGGGATTTTCATTTGCTTGAGAAAATGGTTCTCAGGCTTCTATTCTGCTTGCAGTATCTCTGTCCACTGTTGCTAGGCCTATTCAGATATTACTTCTTTTTTTATTTTATACTACTCCTTAATCTCTGTTGAGAATTTGAAATGGTATGAAATACCATCTGTTATTCCTTGTCTGAATTCCTGAGATCCCGTCCGCAACCGTGGTTGGGAGAGGGCGCTGGTGAGCTTCTGGGTAGATGAGACTCCACCTTAGAAGGAGTGGGTTTGAAACACTCCTGCTGACCTTGTGTGGTGGGAGGTGGGGGAGTCAGACGGCTGTCACTTTGCTGAATTTGTGCATTAGCAGCTGGTGAATCATCATCCTGCTGGTCTTGTGTGCTGGGAGGAACAGCCGAAGAGATGATGCCCTGAGGAGCAGCTGTTGAACCACTGTTGAGACAATTTATAACTAAGCTTGAGATATTAACATTAAATGAGCAATTACTACTGTTCTTAGTTTCTGAGCAGCAGAGTTTGTTTATTGGCTAGTTAACTAGTTTTCTTCATTGACACGTTCCCCTTCTTCTTGTTTCATCTCAGCCTAATGGATCTGAGATGGTGACTTGTCTGTCTCGTTGGATTTTACTCCCAATTCCTTCTCTTGAATCGTAATTGTATTCTGGGGAAAGGCCAAGGAGGTGGGCAAGGAAGGAGGAGCAGCAAGGGAGATCAAAACTGCAGTATCACCAGTTTGAAAAGTTAGTAACTTGTGTGTAAGTAAGTTGTTACTAAAGGTACTGCACAACAGGATTTTCTCTTGACCCCTCTCTGTACTTCATGGCTGGAAGGTGAACTGGAGGAGTAACAGTGAGATTATGAGCACTTTTAAATTCTCCTGATTTTCTTACAGAGAAAACTTGTGTCTGAGTTAAAGGAATCACTACTGTTATCTCGATTACTTACAAGGTGCTTAAATGCTTTTACAGTGAGGAAATTCTGAACAGGTGTAAAATGAATGCATTATAAATGCATTCTAATAATCATCCATTCAAGAGTGACTGTGCAGGCAATATTTGCATTGGTTTCAATGGATATTGGACTGGATTTTACATAAGCACTTATCAATAACAGACATAAAGACATTTTTAAGTTACCAAGCTTAAATGGAAAGGTCTATAGGCAGTATTAAAAAACAACCCAGAATTGTTATAGTGCTAGCTCAAGATCCTCCCATCAAGGCTTCAGGAATACTGTGTCTGTAGATGAGAAGACTCAGGAATTAGCAAAATTTATGGATTCATCTTATGAAGATAAAAATGTAAAATATAAAATACTTAAGAATTAATACTTTCAAAGAAGACAGAGTCTCTGTTTCTGTGCTGTTATTTTTACCACCTGTGTCAAGGACAAGGAAAAATACTACAGTGAATCAATGCACACTGTATGTTACAAATACAGAGGACCTTTGTTTTATGAAGCCTTCTCATCTCTAGGAGAAAAGCATTAACATAGTAAACTGTATTTTAGCCAGGCTGGTGCATTTGTTTATTGTTTCCAGATGGGAAAACCTGTGTATGTGGATTCTTCCAATAGATATTATCTGAGTATTTTTCAAGTAGTAATTCATAGACCACTGGTGGTTCATGGAGTACTTCCAGGTGGCTTAGAGAGGAATTTTAGTAGCAAAGCACTGCTACTTTTCAAACAATTGTGTCGTATATAACATAGGCAAATATCTTGAAGTGTTTTTGTTTGTTTGTTTGGGTTTTTTTTTGTTGTTATGAAGTGTCTTACAGTTGCAAATATGGATTTTAAAACATGCACGAGATAACTGAACTAGGAAGAAGTAAAATATTACTTCAGTATGGAAAGTCTAAGTAAGGACAGATCTGTTCTCCCTGTCTCACTGATTTTAATCTCTTATCCTGTTCCTTGTTAATCCCTTATCCTGTTCCCAAGGAGAGGCTGAGAGAGCTGGGACTGTTTAGTCTCAAGAAGGCTCAGGGGGATCTTATCTATGTGTATTAATATTTGATGGGAGGGATGGAGCCTCTTCTCAGTGGTGCCCAGTGGCAGGACCGGAGGCAATGGGCAGAAATTGAAATACAGGAGGTGCTGTCTGAACATCAGGAAACACTTTTTCACTGTGAGGGTGACTGAGCACTGGCACAGGTTGCCCAGAGAGGTTGTGGAGTCTCCATCTTTGGAGATACTCAACCCGACTGTACATGGCTCTGAGCAACCTGGTCTAGATGACCCTGCTTTGAGCAGTGGGGGGTGGACTAGACAATCTCCCGAGGTCCCTCCCTCCCTCCCAACCTCAACTATTCTGTGATATGTACATTTGGTATATATGGAAACAGAACTATGCAAATAGCTGACTTCACCGATGATAGGGATGAGTTCAGCAATTTTAGACTAGTCTCGTTCACAAGGTAAGAATGCCCATAATAAGCAAGATATTATTTAATAATTCCTCTGCCCAAATAATTTAGACTCTGGCAGTAAAAGAAGGCTAATTTAGCTCTCCTACAGTACGGTTATCGGTAGGTAGAAAAGAGGTGTGATTTTCCTTATCTTCACTTGTGGGTTAATTGAGGCACAACAGGTGACATGAAAATGGAATTAACTGGTCTCTGGAGAGCCTACAGAGAATAAGAAAAGTAAATAATGCCAAATCTAAAATAGACATCTTGATCAAAGTAACTCCATGTGTTTACTTCTGTCTTCTCTTCCTGTAATTTAATAGCCTTGTGCTGCTTTGCCTACAATGAACAACTCTTTTTTTGTGCTGTAATGTTAAGCTGGACTGCTTCTGTATTACGTACTTTTTGTACGAGGTTATTTACCTACTTGGCAATGCATTTATGAACTTATATCTTCATGGTAATTTTAAGATTGCTTTTACATTTTGTTACCATGGTGTAATATATGGAATTACACATTGCAGGCTACAATTTTTTTTAAGACTTACCAAAAGCTATGCTTCTGAAAAGCACCTGAGTTAAGATCTTTGCTTAAAACTGGCTTCTTGGTGCAATTGTTCAGTTTTTGTCCCATCATTCGCCTAATTAAAGCATCATCTGTGTTTGGAAACAACTGTTTTGTGATTCCTGCAAAATAAAGAGATGATATATATGAGGCCCCCAAATCAGGGAAACCAGAGATGTATGATCTAAAATACATTTATTGCGTCTTTTAAATTTCCAGCTACTTCCGCTTCAGCTCTAGTTACTTTGCTGTCTTCGCTCACTACTTCATAGATTTTGCACGTGCCAGCTCTTGCTTTTCTCTGTGCCTTTCATATTGCTGTGCCTGCTCTTGGCAAACTCAGAGGGAACTCCAGGGCCACAAGGGCTTCCTGTAGTAAGTGATTTGTGTTTGCTCATCCTCTCTTCCTTTGTTCTGTTCTTGATCAAAGAGATCCTATCCTCGTCAGTCCTTGTGCCTCTGAATCTTACAGTTTTTGTTCCTTAATTTTCATTTGCAGGTGATGTCTCCTTCCCCAAACATTTCCCTTCTGTTTTGCCTGGCTACCTTTTTTTGAATGCAAAAAACCCTAACAGGACTTATCATCAGGAATGCATCTCCTGCTCTCCTCTTCTCCATCATCTTCCCTTCCCTTGGTTTTTTTTCCCTTTTGATTTTGAAGTCTTACAGTTTCCATCTTCTTTAAATAATCTGATCTACTAACTCATTTTCTACAGTCCTAGAACTCCCAGGCTTCCTTCATATTTTTCTTCTTCTCTTGTATAATGTTGAGACTTTTCTACTTGAATTCAGGAGTGTTCTTATTTCCCTTAACAAACTTCTTTGACTTCTCTATAGGCTCCCCTTTATCACTGAATTCTCTGCAGCATGCTGTATTCGATGTCCTGATTATCTTCTCTGCTTCCCTTTTCAGTTTTGCCTAGACTCTTCCCCAGAATCCACCTTTAGAAAAGTCCCTAGTAGCTCTTAGAATCATAGAATCATTTAGCTTGGAAAAGACCCTTAAGATCATCGAGTCCAACCGTTCTTCTCATCCCATGAAATCTTTTTAATTTTTCTCATACATCGTTCTGAAATTGCCTCATCTTACCACCTCTAAATATATTTTCACCATCTTACACACTGTTTCCTTTTCCCTCTCTTGACTTTGGACCTTCTTCTCTAGCTAGGTTCTTAAGAAAAAGAGGTTTCTGCAACTGATAACTTTTGAAACTGCTGGCCAACTTCAACAAAACTGGACCAAGGTACAGGAACTGGAGCTAAGCTGGGAAGGGAACTGAGAGAACTAGAGAAGTCCGAGGGAATGGCAATGGGCGAGGGATTCTAGTACAGGAATTTAGGCTATGTTGTTCAAGTATTAAGCTATAGGTGTGAATCCAATAAAAATCAGGCTTCAAGTGCTCACAAAATACTGTTTTCTTTAAAGCTGCTACTTCCATCTGAAATGATTCTCTTTCTTACGCACCAAACATTTTTTGCCTTAAACCTCAGCATAAAACAAATTTTGTTTGCTTCTCTGATCACTATTCCTGTCTTCTATACTTATTGTCTCATTTTGCCTCCAGCGCTATTTAAAATGTCAGAATTCGTAACATTCACTAACTTCAGAATATAGCAGACATTATTTTAAATTTGATCCCAGTGTGTCCTGTCTTTGCCTTCCCTTAACCATTAATTGTCATGCTCCAAGTTTGACTGTTGTAGATTAACCTTTCAAAGGCTAAAAAAATTTAAGTATCACTGTGCTGAGTAGCCACTTAAGTAAAAACCACAAAATTCACACAATAGAAATACTACTACTTAGCATTTCACTGACCGTATTTATAACAGATGGGTTAAAAAAGTTTGTAGCTGAAGAAGGAAATATGAAACGGCACAGACTAACTGTTAAGCATTACAGCCCCTCCCTCAGAGAAAGCCCTCTGTCAGGTCAGTGCCACACTGAGTAATGTTAACAAGTCATCACCTATGATTTCTTGAACTTCATTCTGATTCATAGCTGGTTTCGCTGCTTTATCCTTTGAAGAGGAGGACTTCGCACCTGTCAGGCTGTGTGTAGCCATGTATTCATGTGTATAAAGTGCTTGCATCAAGTCATTTATAAACTTTTGAGGTTTGCTCTTGTTACAAAGTGCGATCTGCCACTTTTCGATCTTGAACTGGAAAACAAAATTGGTCATAGGCATAACTATTGTGGTTCTCTAGAAATATTACCTCTGAAATATTTTTTTTAAGTTTTCCTTTTTTAAACCACAATTTCAAAAGTAATCTCTGCAAACTGTGTGCTTGAGATCAACGCTAAACTTGCATACCACTCAATGTTTGCAACTGTACACACAGGTTGATGTTTTTTCAGAAGCAAGTGTGGGGCAGACAGTTCCTAGCAAAGGAAAATGAAAGTGCCATTCATCCTAGCAAACACTTCACCGAGCGATCCTTATTACTCACTAGTGGAGACAGGACATGTTCAGACATAGCTAAGTCCTTCTGCTTGCACTCCATGCAGGCTGGCTGTGGTCCAGTTCTGGCATGGATTCTGTACAGCCTTGGGAGCATGGCACTATGCCCAAGCTAATATTCCTGCCTCCGAGCAGACATAGTGCCGTTCATCCTAGCAAACACTTCACCGAGCGATCCTTATTACTCACTAGTGGAGACAGGACATGTTCAGACATAGCTAAGTCCTTCTGCTTGCACTCCATGCAGGCTGGCTGTGGTCCAGTTCTGGCATGGATTCTGTACAGCCTTGGGAGCATGGCACTATGCCCAAGCTAATATTCCTGCCTCCGAGCAGACATGCCCTAAGAACTGTGACATCTGGTCCTGGGCTTTGAGAGTGACTTCTACACACAGCAGTTGTACAGCCTAAGTATTTGAACTCTCCTAATGGGCAATTTTGAGCTACCTCTATTAAGTAAGGCTAGGTTGCTTAGAAAATTAGGTCTTTTTATTTCTTTGGAGATGTTAGGTCAAATTTTGTGTATTGCAATATTCAGTCAAAACATAACTTGATAATTCTTAATAGATTTATTTGGTTTTTAGGACCCCATGACAACACACGAGAATGATTTCCTCCGACTGGCATGACTCAGTGCATAGGAATGTTTATGTAAATCGTGAATGCAGAAGCTAGAATTATTCTTTTGGTTGGGTCTTTATATTTTTCATGTACAGCCTCTGTGCCTGAGACTTCTCAGTTATGCTCTGTTATAATTGCAGAGAATAGGGGAACACCTTTACTTTGTGTGTGTGTGTGTGTGTGTATATATATATATATTTCTACTTAACTGCTGGCCAGTGTCTGGAACAAGAGCAGAAATGTACCATTCTCTATGTACTTATTAACAGTTTAAACACACTGCTGGTATTTTTCTTAGATTATCTCTGAAACACTACTATTCCCCTTTGGCATCCAAAGCATTAGGCTGGAACTTATCCCCGGATCTCAGTATTTTCTTCATGCATCCGCATTTCTGCCCTTAGTCACAGATGTGCAAAGCCACCAAAATCAAAGCGAGTTTGAAAGTGTACCAGCACACTGAATTAAAAGTCTAGTGTTTCTCATGGAAAGAGCCTTCTGCACAAAAGGAGCTCATTAATCACGTCATCAACTGAACGATGATAAATTTATTTTTGCTGATGCTTATTTTTTATATTTGTTATACTATAACAGTAAAGTTTGTACTGTATAAAGTTTTAATTTTTATGCCTGAAATTGCCTTTTAACTGACCTGTTTTTCAGTCTGTTGCTCCTCATCTTCCACATTCAGAGTTATTGGTGAGCTGGAGTTACTATGCACAGCTGCATATGAATCTGCTAACGGATTGTTAGATGCTTTCCAAATCGCATGTGAATGCAGACTGGACGTAGATGATGTCACTCCCCCTTTGAGCAGTGCTTCAGCCATCCCTACCAGTTCCTCAAAATGGGTCACTGCCTGTGGCAACACTGAAATCAAATGGAAAGTGATGGGTAAAAGTAATTGCAGCTTTCAGACTCTAATTACGTAAGGATGTATATTTTTGTAATTAGATTCCCGTTGTACTGCAAAAGAGTCATAGTAGTCAGCAAAAACACGTTAACATACTTTTTTCCTATTCTCTCAAAGCCTTTCCTGCCATTCTGCTGTCCCCACCCATGAAGATCTGGCCTCTGTTTTTAGAATAGCATAGATGATTGGTTCTCTGCAAGGCTAAGAGGAACCATTAGTTTATGCCCATCGTGGCACTAAGCTGCCTATTTCTCTGTTTGCTTTTTGCTATCTCAAAATCTCTACAAGTCTGTAAAGCTATTGAATGTGGGCTAAGTAATGTTATGTCTGATTTGATTTCTTTTTTTGCTTCAAAGAAGTTACATAGACTGCATGGACTTTTTTCCCTCTTTTTTAATCTATAGAGAATGTCTTTTAAGTGGCCTTTTCTCCAAGTAATATTTATTTTCAAATATAAACTTTTACGGAGTCCATTAAGAAGAATCAATTCAGCAGAGTGAAAAGGATGCAAGGGCTGAAGAATCAGCAAGATACAGAATCACTGAATTACTAGAAAATACTGTCGAAGACTAATACAAGTGCTTAAGATGTAAGGCAAATGGACGTAAACGTGTAAGAAAAGTTATCGGACACTAACAAAATGTTTAAAAATAATACTCAGAAAAGTGGAGATGAATGATTCAAACCAAGATGAATAACATACGGAACAGAATCGGGTGGGCACTGAAACTGATAAGCACTTGCAAAATCATACGACAATAGAGAGAGATACTAGGCTGTCCAGGGATGGTATGACGTAGCTAAGAAGCAGCAAAACCTCTTTAAACCTTATTCATTCACTAATGTTTTGAAATTTTGGATTCAGTCTTGGCTGCCCCAGAGTAAGGGACAGGGACAAGTAAGAGGGGCTTCAGAGGTGATCACTAAGTGATGAAGGATTCATTTATAAAAAAACAATATGGCTCACCTCTGGGAAAGGACTAAACTTGTTGTACCTGGAACTAAGTCAGATTATCAATAATGAGGAATTACTAAAGTAATTAGAAATGAAATAATTCCAGAATAAAGAAAATTTCAGTAGATCAAGAATAACTGTTAAAAAATAAGATTAGTTGGACTGGTCAGTGGAGTGTTTGACCTTAGCCGGTGGTTATATACAGCATACAGAAAGGTTCTCTTGGGAACGACTGACGAGATTTAGACAGATTTTTCCATTTCTAACTCTATGATTGCATGGCCTCCATTTAAGACAGTTTTTTCTAAGTGCTGCTGGAATTAAATGTTGCCATGTATCAAAGACTTTGATGCTAATGGTAGGCCTTGATCGTGTCAGGTGCTTGAGCATCCATAATTCCTATCCAAATGGCCTCTTATAAATCAAGCTTTTCATGACCTTCAGGCTTTCCTCTTCATCAAAACACTTCCCCTGACTTTACCTTGAAGCATCACCAGGGACTGCCTTAGGCGGCAGTTTTCTCTCATGGTGTCTGCCAGCTTCCTCTTGAGACTTTTTATTTTGGCACACAGTTCTACCTTGGATAGTTGAAATAAAGGCTCTTCATCATCACTGCTACTTTCACTATACAGAAAGTTGCTTCCTGAATATGTTTCTCTCTGGAAAAAAAAACAAAACCCAAAACATGCTATCTAGAGCAACAACAACATAAAATTAAAGCATTAAAACTAACATTAAAATATCTGGCTAAATCAGAATATTCTCTTTGTATTCAGAATGTATAAACAGAGTTGGTGCATTTTAATAATAGCTGTTACTGAACATAGATATTACCATACATATTAAAATTCAAAATGAAATGTCAGGGTAATACATAACCGTTAGGTACTTCTCTCTCTGTTCTCCATTCACCAGTTTTCTAAGGTAGTGACTTTTAGAACCATTAACTTCACTAAAACAAAAGTCTTATGCCCTCCTAAACAAATACATTTCAGTTTACTTTTGCTTAACACATTAAAATTGCTGAAGGTGAGATGTTTACCTGTTTGTTAATTAAAGATGTTTCAAGTTGACTGAGGATGTTGGCAGGAGCAGATGCCTGTAATGATTTCTTTCTTTTTATATGCTTCATCATCTTCATATCTTTTATATGCTTCATCCCCTGTAAACAAGAGCATAATAGTGCCTTTGCATTCCTATAGAGCCTTTCATTACAGTAGCTCATGGTATACCATAAACTTTTATGCACTGTGCGCTCGACATTCTTGGTTAGTGTTTCTGAAAAATATGTTTATAACTTTTTGTTATACAAAGCTCAGAAAACCTGGTCCCTTCCCTTCCTTATGCAGTGGTCAGGCATCTTGTCTTATGGGAGAAAATGTGATGCAGCATCCAAGTCTTGAATAACACTTCTCTCTTCAAACAGCAAAGGACAAAATCTACTGGCCTAACTAATTACTCTGACAGGTTATCGTGCTGAGGTACCACGTGAAGACTGTCTGTATTCCTACCTTTACTATACATATTTTGTGTATTATATTGTGAAGAATCAATAGTTACGGTCTATTTCATTCCATTACGGGCCTACCAATATCAGGCACATAAAGACAGAAACTCACCTGTTCTTTATCCAGGTCACTGTCTTCACTCTCTGAGAATATCATTTCTATCCTCTTCCTCTTGCCTTTTCCAAGGACTTGTATTTTTGTAATTTCATCCGCTCGTAGTATCTTTTGCATCATTTCCACCAGCTCTTGGGGGTCGTCTGAAGTGATGGGAAAAAAAGGCCAAAGCCCAGAAAATCAGGTAGCAATGCCTTATAACTAGATTAAAATTTCATATCAGACAAATGCTCTGTAACTGCACTCACCACTCATGTACACTACTTTCACCAGGTGCTTTTCTGTCTTTCTTTCTCCCACAGGCCAGTTTACTAGCACGTGCTCATTTGGTTTCAGAAGTCTTTCTAGTTCATTGTCATCATTGGGAAGGTCCTGTATCCATGAAGTCTCTCCAATTTGCAGTGAATTATCATTTACAAAATCAAACAGTGTGAATTTTTTCATTGTTAAGTGGTTTTCTTGTCACACAGACACCGCCTGCAGGACGTCATAGGAAAAATAGCTGTTTCCATGTCATGCCACAGGAATGTTAGAAGAATACTTTAAAAAGCCCCAAACAACCCTCCTATTCCTGGATTTTGGTAATTACCTTGTATGAAAATAGCCTGGATAAGGAAGTGAAAACTAGCCAAGCAGCGTGTTGTATCTCCCCTGAAAGATGGAAGCTGCTCTGTTCAATACATGTACATCAGACAGTTGCCTCCAAAATTATGCCCAGAAAACAGCTTTCACTCACAAGAGCCCCTTGCTTCCATATTACTACCATGCCTAATCTATCTCCTGCCCAGGATCTCTATTACTACTACATATGCCCCAACAAAAGTTTTCAGTCCAGCCTCTGGCTAAAAAATACAGGTGTGATAACTTTTCCTAGAACGAGGGAAGGTAGTAGTTCTACATGCTATTAAAAGGGATGTATGACTTCCAGGGCTGTATTAATCATCTCACGGGCAGCAAGATGTACAATTGCAGACATGAAAAAACAACCCAGAACAACCCAGGACAACTGACTGGATGAGGTATGACACATTCTGGCAGTGGAAAACTTGATGTACAAAAGAAATGACAGGCTGACGACTGGAAGAGTTGGGCTGCTTCATGAAGAATAACAGCAACAAGGAGAACCCAGACCCAAATATACAGCTAAATCCTTTGCTTACATAAAACAATATTTGTAAAGCAAAGGACCATTTCTGGTCCTTTAAAAAGCACTAAAGTTCCACACTGGGAGAAGACAGCAAGTCATACTTTGTGCTTTATTTTTCTAATTAATTTGATACGCCTTACATGAATGTGTGAAATGTAACATACATTATTAAACTCTACTGGAAATGTAACTGGTTCATTTAAGTGCTTCCATTATACCCAGAGAAGATATTTTATACTTTAAAATTATTAAATCAGATAAAACCAATAAATAGAAAATCTGATTTTGTCAAACCACAGTCTTCGTTCCAACAAACATACGGTTTGGCCTGTCAGCTCAGAGAGGTGAAGTAATTTTACAGAGCTGCAAACTCATGAATTCCCAGATGTGACAGCATGATTTGCGATTTACTTGGCCTCAATCAGTCAGAAGTAAATCTAGCACCTCATGCAGAGGCTGTCAAAAAGGTAACTCAGAGCTAGGAAAGGAGAATTACGCAGAGCTATTATGTCAAAGTGAGAAAATCTGGCTGCAGTGCACTGAGAAGCAATGTCAATTTGTTTGCAGAAGCCCAGCTCACCACTATTCACCACGTCTGTACTACGCCTCAGAAGAGCTGGTTTTTCACACAGGGGTGAACTTGTTAATTTGTGAAAGACAGTTGTGCTCTTGTCAACATGTTTACTGATACAATGAGGCAAGCGGCGTAAGAAATCACCTTTAAAAAGTGTATTAAATCATGCCTTTATGCAGAATGTGTTGAGTGCGATAACAGTAGGTTTGTTAAGTACTGCCCTGCTGAAGAAAGGAGACTGTGTTTGCAAGAATTCACATTAATTGTCTTTAAAGCAAGTTAGAAAGACCGGGAAACATTCATCCCATGTAAATTCTGGAGAGGAAGCTGCCTGAATGTCTATGCCTAGCATGAATCACTGGAGGCCTCATTCTGCCACTGATCCATGCCGAGTGGATCCTCACACCACAGAAAGGGATCATTCAACAATTTAAAACAGCCCGTGCATGCAATCACATTGACCATCAGTGTTTTTCCTTCTTTTTCAAACTGCTTTTGAGTATGTACACCAGTCAGCTTAACATTTCTCATTTGGCACGAAGATGTTAACTTCTACCCCTGATCAACCCAGGACAACAATCCCCATCATTGAGTTCTTCGATTCTCAAATTAAGTACTTTGAGCTTTCCCCTCCTTGGCCCTTGGCAGTTGCAAGCTACTTCATCACCCTCCTAAAAGCCCACATAAGGTCAGCAGAATTGCAAAAAAGTTAGAACTGCCAGTGTGCTAAGATTAACAGCTGATTGACTGACTTCTATATTTTTTTAAATGTTTCCCTGTAGTCCTCTAACAGTTTGTATGTTGCCTCTCATTTTGTATTAAGACAAATATTCTCTGAGCCATGGGACATGCTTGTGGTCTGCGCTTGTACAGGGTTAGCAAGCCAGCCCGGGATTTCCAGGGATGCACTGAATACACAGGCTGTTCACAGCATGGAGGGTAAGCGATGATTCCCCACGGCACTGGGGCTATTCACATACACACTGTGCCAACCAAGCACATCGGTAGCAAGTCCAACAGCTTTTGGAACGTACTTGCGTACATGTTATACAGCTTAATGAAGTCAATGGAGACGTGGACTTCTGGGTGTTCGGAGCCCACGACAGCAGCCTGGTGCCACTGGTAGACTCTGTGAAGCACATGGCTCGCTAGATCCCTCACACGGTCTTTACACCTGACAAGCACCTGGATCCAAGAAAATCCATCCTGCCACCCAAAGCTAGGGACAATTTCTACCATGGTCATGGCAGGACTTGGAGCTCAGCAATTTGTCTACATCATCTATAAAGCTCTTTTGAGCTGTCAAAAATCTTGCCTGTGGTGGGAGGGTGTACTAGTAAACAGCTAAACTTATTTCACCAGGAGTCTTAACAGCTGCCACGTTAAAATATAAGCTACATAGGATGCTGAGAGAAATAAGGAATGGATTTCACAAGTAGTCATGGGGATGCGGTTGATCCATTCCTTTAGCTCCCGGCAGGAGTCTGAAAGCCTCCCGGCAGCCTTCCGAGGCTTGTGCTCAGTCCTGTTGCTCCTGCTGCTTTTGAAGGGACCAAGGCAGGAAAGCAGTTGTGGGGCAACAACGGAGAATGGCCAGGTCCCTTCTCCTCTGCTGCAGTTCTGCTGGGCATCAGCTCAACTGCTTGCATTACAGATAAAATGACAAAACTATTACACTGCCAAATAAAAGGAACAGAGTGCAATAGTTGATTGTTAGTATTTTTCAGTTATGGAGCTATGGCTTCAGCTCCTGCAGTAGACATTAAATCAAACTACGTCTTTTCACAGAATTTATTGTGACAATCCATGGGTCCTGGGGATAATACCTGTCTGCTGGCATCATCGCTAGCCAGTGATTCAAGGGAATGGAAAGGTAGAACAAAATGTCTCTAACAAGGAAAAGGAACAGTAAAATACTTCACTTACTGGAAAAGAAGTCCTGCAGTGTTTTCTCACCCTGTTCTCCCACTGGAGTCAACGTGAACCTTGTCTGAGTCAGGACTGCTGCAGATGCCTCCCTCTAAAACGTTTTATTTGCCAAAACAGATCAAAGGCAAAATATACTGTATCATCAGGAAAAAAAAAACCTTGGGGAGTGGGATTAATCTTACCAAACTTTTACTGCCTTAAAAGTGAGAGGTTGTCTAGCCATGTTTGGCTCAGTCACCACAGAGAGAGAGGTGATTCATCTCACCCTAAGACACGCATCTAAAAGAGAGCGGATAACTTACTGTTTGGGAGAGCCCATTTCTCTTTGCTGACTATTCAGTGACTATACAGGAGTAGGTATGTCTCCTTATAGAAGCTGGCTTGGTCCAACCCATCCTATATTAGCTTTTTCTATTTTTGAAGCCGTAGGATAGATTCCAATAGACCTTCTGCTATAGGGAGCCAAGAGGATGAGGTCTGTTAAAGTGTAACTGGTTCTCTGTTTTAAATCTTTCTTACATAGTTCTGCAAGTCATCAAGTAAGATTTCTGACACTGAGTGCTGTGTTCCGTGGTTTAATTGGAAGATATATAATCGTGCACAGACATAACCCTGTGTGCAGCTGCTAACCACAGACAGAATTATATGACCTTTGAAAGCCACTTATGTTTTGCAAGTTACTTCTGCTATATTCTCCATTTGAAAATTCTAGCTACTTATTTAAGAAGTACTAAAATACAAATTTATGATTTATGTGTTCTAAGACACAAATCTGTCTTTACTTTTTCTAAAAGCAGGTAATTTGTAGAAGGGGAGAAAAAAAGGAGCCATTTAATTTTAAAGCTCTGCAGAGGAAACATTAATTTGACTCTTAATTTTTACAAACATGTTAACACCTCACATTCTGCACAGATGCTACAAATTTGCACACAGAATATTGTTACTAAGCAACCCAAAAAGCCAGAACAAAAAAAAAATAAACCCACAAAAGTCATTTAAAGACATCTCTCACCCTTTGACTGACATAGTCTGTTCCATTCAGCCAGAGAGTTGGCAGATGGCATGCTGAGATCATTATTTCTCTTTCCTTTCAGTAAACGTGGTGTAGAGTATTACAAATTTAGAACACGAGATTGTAGGGCCACTCGATGGGTCTGATTCTGCCATGGCTTAAAATAGGGCTTTGCCACTGATTTCAGCAAACCAAGAAACTGTACCATAACCATAACACAGATCCATGATAAAGTACTAACATTTTATATTGTCTAGCCTCTAAGTTCAGCCTTCAATGATCCCAGTTTTCCTTGGAAAAAAAGCCCGCCTTTACTGAGCTAGAAATTCATCTATCTCACTCAAACTATTTATTTCCAATTCAGCATAATGAGCGGTAGTTACAGATTTGGTTTGTGTAACTTTGCCTATGGGATTTTACATTGAACTTGTCAGGACATTAAACACGCCAGGACATTAAACACAAAGTTGGTGTAAAACTCTTGGGCTACAATGAAGTCTCAAAATTTCCAGTTCTCCAGAAAACATGACCATATTTAAATACGTTACATGCCCTGTTGTGGGTTCTAATCTTATTCCCCTGAAACCAGTGTAAGATTTACTAATGATTTCAGTGGAATTAGGCACTGTCGGAAGAATGCAGAAGTGTTGTTACTCCTCAAAAGATTTACAGTGTGATAGCTTAGTCATTTTATGGGAAAATATGACTTAAAAGCACAAATCTGCTGCTCTCAGCTGAGAAAAACAGCGTACAGATTTTCCAGAATCATCAGTATCGCTGTATTCCAAATTCAGCTGGAAATCTGAGGGAGCATGTATCAGAACATTACTGCAACTTTCAAGACTATAAATGCACAGAAATGATCCCACTTGTCTTCACACGCTAAAATCTGTTTGAGTGGCCCAAGAAATTGATGAAGCCATTATTTTTCACAGTAGTGCCCTCTATGCTGTGAGTTTTAGCAACCTGGAAGTTCTATAAAACAACATTAATACCTAAATATGCCAAAGCCCTTTGTAGGACTGTGGCCTAAATCAAAAGCTTGAAGAAATTTATTGGAAAAGCTCTGATTTTTGCAACAAACCATTGATTTTATTTGTAATACTGAGTGATAGGAAAGGATGAATTTATTAAGCAGGTATATTTAGTATGTCTAGAAGTACTAAACTTCTGTTCTAATAATTTATTCAACTAACAGTGAAACATGGTGTTTGTTTTAATAAATTTCAAGATAGCAATCTGGCATCATTATTGGGCTTTCACGACAGGATTCAGTTCTAGATTAAGATGCTTACATTTAGGTATCTCTGGTGCACCAGTTATCTAAGTTGTCATTGTAATCACTGGAGATCTAGGGATCAATTTGGCTTCCTAAACGTAGGTGTCTAGCGCCAGTGTCCTCTAATATTCTGCTTGGCCTTCAGCTGCTACTCCAGAAGTGCAAATCCCCCACAGGTCTTTTATCACAACTACCGTCCCTTTGAAGATGTCTCAGCCTTGAGCAACTCCAACAGTCATGAGTGTCAAGCCCCTACTGAACACAATTAAAGCTCCCTGGAGAGCAATTCAGCTCATTTCAAATGCTCTAGGGCTCAATTCAGTTGCCTAAAAGTAAATGCATGGTGCAATCTTAGATACCATAAATTATTACGCCTGGCCTCCAACTGCCTCTTCTAATGGGCACATATCTCACATAGGGCCTAGACCCTCTTCCAGGCTCGTGAGGGTGGTTACTAACTCCAGGCACATCAAATAGCACTAAACACACAAATTTAGGGAAGCGAATTGTTCTCTGGGCCCCAATGACTGAACTGAGTTTGAATAGGAGCTTAGATACCTCACATACCTATAAACCGCATACATTTATTTATCTGTATTTTAATCCCACACTCAGTGAAAGATCCCCATAAAGGCAACAAGATGCAGGAAGTTATATTAATTCTGCATCACAGATCAGTATCTTTATTAAATAGCTATTTCACAGCTGACAGATGGAAAACTAACAGCCACTTTGATTTGCTTATTCGCAAATGCCATGCTCAACAAAATGTATTAATATACAGACCAACAAAAATAAGTTTATTTGTTGAACTGGATGAGATACCTAAGCTACAGGAATTTGAATAGTCACATAAAAGCTCTTTCCATGCAGGTTCACATATCCAAACTCTTAGAAGCAGTAAGTAGCCTGGGAGGAGAAACAAGTCAGCATGGCTCTGTAGAGTCCAACACTTGGCCGTACTCATTCTGATCTGGCTTGGGTAATTCAACACAACACATTTTAACAGCTCCCAAATTGTAAAGGTTAAAGACCAGTGAGGTATTCAGTTATTTTGTCTAAATATGTTTATGGGAAGGCAACATCATCAGGGAAAGTTTGACCACATGCAAATCTGTGCTGAGGTGCAAAACCTGTGCACTTGCTCTATGTTAACAGCCCAAGCAGCCAAACACCCTTTTAGGAAAAGGCTGAAAAAATATCAGACATACTTTCCATGTGCAAATAATGTACTTTCAAATTGGACTTGTTCAAACAAACCCACTGATGGAGGTTTGTTATAATATATATACTCATGAGAGTTTATAAGAGGAGGCATCTTACTCTTTTTATAAGGTGGCATAAGCTATCTTATATCTTCAGATAAGCTGTGCTGCCCCAAAGCATTGCTATCGGTGACATTCTCCCTTCAACTCTAAGAGCATAGAAGTGAAATACCAGCTAGGAAATTCCAGGCTTGAGCTCTGGTCAGTATTTAATAATCTAGCGGCATCTTAACTATCTCTACTCATATGTCTTCATTGGCTGTCATAGGTGAGCGATGATAGATTAGAAGTCATGCCTGGTTAATACTCAAAGTGCCTGCTCTTTTACTCCAAAGCTCTTCCTCAGTTGCTCTGGTTTTGTGGCATGTTGGTAGGAGGGAATGAACTTGATGATCTCCAGTTAAAAAAAAAAAAAAAATCTGCATTGCTATTAAAGGTCATGAGCTAGAACAAGAGACATAGACGTTGTCCTCTTACTCCAGGGAACATTACTGCAACTAAGAGTAGTTCTGTGTGCACTTAGGAGAATTGACAGAAAGGCATCTTCCCTGCAAGGATAACAACCTCAAACCTTATTAGAGCTATTTTTTTTCCCCTCCTGTAAAATTAAATGTCTTTTTAGTGTATGTAGTTCAATGTAACTTTATAAATTAATATAAAAGCTGAACGACCAGTGTTGTGTATCGGTCTGAAACAATCCTTAAGCAACTTCCAATTACACACATAAAATACTAATGAAGTGCAATTCCCTCTGGGATGCAAGGCCACATTCAGATTGACAACTGCTACATTAAACACTGCCAAAAATGAGTACAGAGCAAATTTTAACCAAGGACAAAGGGGCATATCACTGCTGTAATAAAAAAAAAAAAAGCCATAGGAGCTTTAGCAGTATATTTCGATCTAGGCTCAAGATCAGCCTCTCTGTCTGCAAAGTCAATTTATGCCCACAGAATTCCTGCCAGCATTTTTCCAGCAACGCTGTAAGCCGTGAGTGCACAACTGCATGGCTCATACTCTATTCGATTTACATTCAGTCTAATAAACAGAGGGAATCAAAACATGCAAGTTGTGTGAGTTGATGAACCAGCAAAATAAGGACAATTACTTCTACATATATAAAGCAGGCAGAATTTGGTTTTACGTGGTCAGCTGAGACACCTGCAGATGGTAAAATGTTCCAGTCATGGAGGGGTCTAGTCTGCAGCACTGGAATCACACAGTTTGGTCTTGGGTAAATCGAACAACCTTTACAGTTTAGCTTCTCTTTTCAAAGGATCTGAAATAATAATACATATTTTCCTAATTTCAAGGATATTGTGAGAATTAACTAATGCTAGTGTGCCTTCCAAACATACAAAGCACTGTATGGAGCAAACAATTTAACAAGTTTTGCAGAACAAAGATTTGCAATAACCTTGCTGAATTTGGAACACATAATTTCACATTACAGTTTTTTTTGAAATGTGATGCCTGTATCAAGCTGGAAATGGTTATTCTTTCAGCTGAAGAATGTATTTTATAAGGTTAATCATCTACCAGAAACTCCCACAACATCATCTCATACATCATGCTTAAACTGCTAGAGAGCACACTGAGGACAGCGTGTAACCCGTGAAGTCAAATATTGAGGGGGAAAGTCAATTATTTCATTGAATGAAGTTGATAATACTCAGATACTACAATATTTTCTGTATTTACTCTGCTTGCTTCTTTGGTTTTTACTCTATTTACTTTGGTTCCTCTTTGATTAGGAAAAAAGTATTTGTTAAGAAGCATTAGATGATTAGAGAACCCTTCTAACCAGTTAAGTAGTAATTTAAGCAGAATATTTTACTTAATTATAATTAATTAGTAGAAACACAGTCCTTAAAGCATACCTACATACCAGTGAAAGGAAGTGATCTTACCCTTTCACTTACTCAGCTACTCTTCTGAAATCATATCACGTATCATCTCCTATTCTTATGTCCACATCACCAGATCTAGCATGTGACCTTTTTTTTTTTTCGGCTCATTGATACAGGGGGTCTTACAATTGCAAAATGAGGTCCACAAGGCCTGAATCTGTAGGAGCAGAGAGGTGCCTTCTGAGAGTTGTTGAGTGGCCTTGAATCCCACAGCTTACATTGGGGGAGGTCAGCAGATCTCTGCAGACATGGTTTCTCCACTCAAAATACCATCGTATTTTCTTTTCGCATTTTTTTTTTAATCCTTTCAGCCTAACCCATGGTACTCAGCTAGGATTTTTAGTTTCTGTTGAAAAGAGTTGCTGAACCTCATGTAAATTATCAAGGAGTATGCACTAGTCCATAGATTGTACTACAATTCTGCATACAGGGCAAGAGTATGGGCAGAAAGTATCTCTGCCTTCAGCCTTGCTGGGCAACGCTGCTAAGTCAGAACAGGTTACCATGACAGACTGCCTGAAAGAATATTTTAGGTCAGTGCTGCCTTGTCTCCCTGCAGGAAGGCTGCTGCTGCTACAACACATTCCCTGCTCAACTCTTCCATTAAACTGCAGAAGTTTGACATAATTTCCATGCTGTTCCCCTCCCTCATGCAACTTGGGAAAATAGGTAAACAACTGCATTCAAGAGTGAGTGCAACCAGAGAAACAGCCTCCCGTCCTGTCCTGTCCCTTTCCACTGCAAACGTTTGCTGGTCGCCTCTTTTCTGTGGAGTGTCTGAAGCAGAACTTTCCTTTTTCATCCCTCTGCCCAACTACTTACCACCACCTCCTCCCTCAGCATTGCTGAAGTAAAAGGCTGCTTCCAAGCCTCCTGCCGAAAACTTCAGCTATGCCTGTGACTTTGTCGCTGTTCTGTTTCCCTGTGATCCCCATCAAAACATGCATCTGCAGGACGCTACCTCCCACCTTCTCACATCTCTGCAAAAGTGCAGCCACACCATGCGTACTCTGAAACAGCAGCAGTACTCCTTGTTTATTTCAGGGTCGAAGGCTGCCTTCTTAGCTTATAAAACCCTTTTGGACTTGCTTCAGCCTCTCAACAACTTACATCTCTCTTCTGACCCGCCTTGCCATTCCACACACTCTTGTCACAGTTAGTCTCAAGACTTCGTTACCTTCTTTTACTTCCTCTTCTCTGAAATAGCTTCACCTCCGGGATTCTCCTTCTGAGGTCAAATCTCAGCTGAGAGGTTTTGTTTTAACCTTCTCTCTTCATTCCTTTTCTCTTCTCTGTTTATCATCCTTAAGATTTTTAAAAAGTTCCCTGAAAAACTCTGTAAAGAAGCTTAGATTAAAAATGCAATACATATAAAAGCTTCTTTTAATTTCTCTTTTGTGGGTGGGAATCTACTCACATATAGTTTGCTTATTTTTAATGTGAAATAACTTCAGCAACTTAAACTTTATTCACCATGGAAGTAATATTTTAACCACGCTACCAAACCCCGCAGTATTTAACAAACACAGAGCAGTGATGAATATAAAGAAAGCCACAGCAGCAGTTTGGTATACATGAGACAGTTGACTCAGATGCCTGGAGCAGCAGCTCTCTGAAAAATCATGCATGTCAGCATTTCTTGTACTAAACTGTACTCTCTTTCGCATTTGAAAAAAAATTAAGCGGTTGTCGTGAAATCTATTATAGCCTTTTGGCAAAATATTATCCTCAAGACACCAATGAGCTCCAAGTCTTAGAAGGGAAAAGCTATAAACCTTAAACTAACAAGCTAGCATGAGAGATTTGTCTGTCAAATGTTTTCTATGCACCGCTACCCAAGAACAATGTGAAAATAACTGTTCCCTCTCAGTTCTCTGCAATTTACCGTGCAGTCACTGCTGTGCCACATTTCCTCTACCATCCCATTCTGAAACAAATCAGTGCAGAGCGAAAGGTGTCGAAAAGTTTCCTGCTCCTGCAATACGCTGCAGTGAAGCACTGCAGCAGGGCAGCGCGTTGCCGGGAGGATCACACTGATTTCCTTCATGTTACAGTGAGGAAACATGAACCATCTGAATAATCTCCAGGTAACCTGCATTAAAACCATTTTACTGCAGTGTACTGCGGTATTAGGAAAGATTTTAATACTGCACCACGTGATGCAACACAACCTTACAGCATTTGTCAGTTCCTAGGCAGTGAAGGAAAGCTTTAAATCAAAGGCTGCAATGTAGCAACTTTCCATTTTACTAAGTAATAGGACAGACTATTTTGGCTCACTGTGTTGGCGTATAGTATGAAATGATTTCCTGGAATAAAATATTATAGACCTAAAAGCCAACTTTCTTTTTTTTTTTTCTTTCTTTAAGATGCTTAGCCCCCCCCAACCTGGTATCAAGAGAATCTTTCAATAATAATGGATTTCCCTAACCTTAAGGGTACAGTAAAGTGTTACAGTGTTATTAGCTCAGTGATAAATGAATTTTAGTATTGTAGAGATAGTTTTTCCTGTTCTTATTTAAGCTACCATAGATACATTTCCCTCTCTGTCCTTCCAGCTTGCATATTTTGTAGTTTAATTTGCACATATGCTTTTCTATATAGTTTTATGGCAGTCATATAAAGCAGTAACATTTCAATGTTATTCCAATGTTTACACAGAGATTTTCATTACTTCTATAAAGTTTTGGAAATGTTCCTCTCATTTATATGCTCACATCAAAGATCCATGAAAAGAGTAAGAATTTCGTCACGAGTTAACCCTAACTTTTTCCCCAGTAACACGGGCAAACACAATATTGCAAAATATTATCTGGATATATTCTCAGCATGTGATTTTTTGTGTTTAGTTGTATGAGAGAGTTTAAAACTGCATTTTCAAAGACCTCTGAAACAGTCTTTGAAAGTATGGAGCATCATCAAAGCAACAACTACAGAGGTAGTAACAGCGACAGAGAGAAACTCTTGTTATTATCTGCATTTGCAGCCTGCACATGCCAGGATTTTTATACTAAATGCGATGCATCAGCTCCGGCAAGGCGGTAAACGAGCGGCACGGGAGATGACACTTGCTGCGGCATGTTGCAGTTTCCTGCAGTAAGAGGGTATCTGCACGGTATTGCTCTGTAACAGCCTTCGCTGCAGCAAACCCCCTGCACCAGCCAGCTTCTCCGCGGCTTTCATGTAGGAAGCGTCTCGGCGGGTGTGCAAATTACACACCGCCCGGTATATAAGCACCACACACGGTGCCTGCCTTAAGGCACAACCCAGAAGAAAGCTGGTGCCGTGCTGCGTCCCGGACCGCTGCCCAGCCTCTCCCGCAGTCAGCCGTCGCCTAAATCCCAGCATCAGAAACACGGAACAGCACAACACGAGGACCCTAATCACCTTGTCGGGATGTATCTCATTAGCATCTCCCAATCCCTTCCCCCCGCGACAGCTTTGCCACGAAACCGGATCAGTGCCCCGGGTCCAGTCCAG